AAATAAATAAGTAAATGAAACTAATACCACCCCTGCCAAAAAAGAAACCTAAAAGGTAATTTAAAAAAGAATACTATAATTGTAATAATTTTGAAAAATTTCCCTTAGCTAACCCTAACCGGATATGAAGAAATAATTTTACTAAAAATTATAGGGCATTAACTAGATTTATTGTGGTAATCATTTTGCAATATATGTATATGCAAATTATTATGTTGTACACCTTTAATACAATGTTACATGTTAATTATATCTCAAAAAAGCTGGAAAAAATGTTAAAGAATTTTTAAAAATTTTTAACTAAAAATTATAATTACAAAGTCACTTATTCATAATTACATTTTTATTAAGAATGATTTAAGCTCTATTCAACTTGAATTGTTAAGCATTTCAAATTAACATAAGTAGCTGGCAGACTAATGGACCAGTCTGAAATAATAATTTTTAAAAATATTTTTCTAAAACTTGACATAGCACAGAAGCAACTATAACAATAATGTAATAATTAGTTAATATAATATTATATTTGGTAATATAATAATAATTTACCTAAGCAATTGGTAAGAAAAACAGCTTTCAAAATATCTTTTGAGATTTCCTTATGAATAAAACTAATGTATTACATAAGCAATACGACTGTCAGATGCTCTAGACCAAATCTGGAAATAATTCTGAAAATTTGTGTAGCTGAAACTTGAATTTAAAAACATGAACAGATGTTGCTTTATGGATCCTGTTACCAAATAGTAGTTTAAAAATCTCTTTTGTATCATTAGCTCTTTCAAATGGTCTCTAAGACTTGTTTTCCAATTATCTAAAAAAAAAAAATTATCATATGAAATTTCATAAGACTAAGAAGAAAAAAGTATAAACCCTAATAAAGCTCACTACTTCTCACTTAAAAGAAATTTGATTATGATTTGTAAGGGCTAAAATCAGTGATTTTTTTGCTGCTTCAAAATATGTGATCAACTTCATTCCTTCATTCACGGTGTAGAATTAAGTTGCTGTGACTATACTTAGATTTATTAACATAAATGAAGGCCCTGTGATTGTGGTGTAAAACATAAAACATATACTTCAATCTAATACTTCAAGGAAATGATTAGCTTTATCAAATATTTCACTATCAAATTTGGGGTTGAAGTAGTAACAAGTGGTGTTGGTAGAGAAAAATCTTACGTATTCATTAGGAATGTGAGTTACAGGTTAATAAAGACACCATATTTTATTGGTCATAAACTCCAGGCAATTTTTGAAAAGCATTAACTTTATCTAACTTTTATTAAAAACAAGTGAAATCCATTCTGAACTGCTTGTTACACAATTTACTGCTTTCTCTTCTAAAAGTATTTCCTTTTTCTCTGAAACTCTTCTTATTAGCTTCTCTACCATTCCTTCTTTACTCTTACTTCCTTTGGGACAAAATGCACCACTCTTCATTTATCCCTAGGTTCAGGAGAGTTTGTGGAATCTCAAACTTAGTGCTAGTTAATACAGACCAAGCCCCCACTTCTAGTATTAGGGATCTACATCTAGAACAGAGAAAGCTCACTCTTCAGCTTCTTCACACCAGGAGGAAAGGAAGTGTTTCCGATCTATAGCTACAACTGTAGTTTTAATTTATGAGAAAGACTTCGATATGTTTTGTTAACAGTTAAAAGTAATTTAGTACCTAATATCTGAATACAGTAAAATTCTCTTCCCTCAGTCAATTCCACGGGTGCCATTTAATTTTTAAGAAGGGGTACTTCCATTTTTTTTTCTCCTCTTCCTAATCTTCCAACTCTCTCAATTAAGCCCTTTCTTTGCTTCTTGTATATCATGTTCGATCTGTTGAATTCCCTCCAGTTTAGCTTAAATTCCTTATATTTCTCCCTGTCTTCTCCCCTACCAAATTAAATAGTTCATTTCTTCCTTTTTCCTAGCATCTGTTCCTTTCTTAATATATTCCAATTGGTACCGACAACTGTACCTATCCTGGGCTTCTTTCTCTAATTCTTTCCCATTGCTTAGAGACATCCTCATCTTGACCACTGTGGATTCTGAAACCCAGTTCCTTTTACTTAAATCTTATACACCCTCAGCATCATCACAGAATGCTCATTCCACTTCTTAGACTTAATGGAAAGTTAGTTGACATTTTAACAAGAATACTACCTCCCTCAGAAACATTTTGAGGAGAAACTGCTGAAAATCCTATATCTTAAATACTACAGAAGCCTGGAAGTGGTATCAGCATTCTTCAAGGTCTGTATTGCTAGTTTCTAATTTCATGTAAAACCTACTCCTTTTATATTCATAATATCCTTTCTGCATTATCATCTACTTCCCAGGCAATTTTTATTCATTTTCTATCAACCTTAGGTCTTCAGTGACATCAATGCCTATATAAACCCTAGCATCAAAAATCCTAGCATCAAGGTTTGGTGCTTTCCTTGCCTTCCCAAACTGTAATCCACGCTTCATCTCAGAAACCTACTCCCAGGACCAAATCTTGTAACTTTACATTATTTGAAATTGTCTAATATCTGAAAATTCTAAACATTATTAAACCAAACTCTGAAAATAACATCCTCCATTTGCTTCCATTAGCCTTCAATAGCACCACAAATTCCAATTCTTTTATTGAATCCCTTCTCTTCCAGTTCATGGAAAACACTGTATCTAAACATGACTTAACAAGACAACATGATTTAACATGATCAGCATCTTCCCAAATCTCTCTTGGACACCACGTCAACCATTTTCCTTGCCAGCCACCCTCAAAATCCTCATCCTATTTTTCTTCCTATTATAACTGCCCACAAACCTTCAACCTGAGATTCTAATGATTACATCTGAAGTGTGGTAATGAGCCAATCACATGATCTTGGAGCATCAGTGCCATCACAAGTTTAAGCCTTCACTTAAACTATCAACCATTCTACTTGTGTTCCGTGAGCTCCTTTTCCAATCCCCCACTGTAGCTACTCTTAATTTGATAAGTTCCCCAAGACATCAAGAAGCCTTGTCTACATTCATCTTCACTTCTGTTCTTTTAGATCTCCCTTCCTTTCTCTTCAGTCTGTTCTCCACCCTCCACAATTTCACTGAAGCTAATCAGGCAAAAATCATTATTGATTGTTTTATGATTTAACAACATATTTGTCTTTCCCTGGAATTTTTCTCTGTTGAGTATACCCTTCCTGAAACACCTTCCTTTCTGAATTTTGTTCTTTTCTAGATATCCTACTGTCTTTACACGGCTCTTTTCAATGTAGTTTTCTGGCTCTTGTTTTTTCATCCACTTAAATGTAAATAAATGCAGATCCCAGAATTTTGATTTCTTATTCTTCGTATGCTTCTAACAATTCCATTCATTCCAGTGGAATCCGTTAAATGCTGATACTCTACGTCTCTAGTCCAGACTTCTCTCCAGAGTTCCAGACCCATACTTCCAATCTCGCCTATTTGATATTTATACCTGAATATTCCAAAAGGGCCTCAAACTAACCCATCCTCAAACTGAACTCTATTTTGCCCCTAAAATTTGTCCAATTTATATTTCCTGTATAGATAAAATATACCATCCATCCAAACATTTCAGTCACCTGAGATTATTATCTTCTTCCTTCTTTTCCCTGCATCAATAATATTCAATTGGTAACTAAGCCTTATAGATTCTACGTTTTAAAATAATTTCTCATGTAACAACTACCTCTCTGGATACCTCAACCCAGCCCATTGTCATCTCTTTAACTGATCCATGCAATGTCCTCATAAATGATCTTTCTGTTTATACAGCTCGAGTCCACTCTTTATTCAGCTTTCAAAGTAGTCTTTTTTAATACAAATATCTGATTGTGTCCCTCTCCTGCCTTACATGCTTCAATAACTTACACAGTTTTCAGGAACCCTCCCTGCCGACTTTTGCTTAAACTTGTTTGAAGTCGTTTTGTCATATTTTTTTCTCTGCCTGAAATGTTCTCTACATATCAGGCCAACATGTTTCTAGTTTTTAACATTCAACTCAAGGGTCATCTCTTCTGTAACGTCTTTCTTGAACTAATATTCATGGTGGAAATAATCACACCATCTTTTGTGATTCCACTGTATGTTTATCTATCTATCTATCTATCTATCTATCTATCTATCTATCTATCTACCTCTACCTACCTACCTACCTACCTATCTATCTATCCATCCATCCACCCATCTAGATATAGATATCCCATAGTACCTATAATATTACTGAGTTTACTTGTTAGACTCACACTAGGAAAACCCCACAAGAATAGGGGGCTATTTTATGTGTCTTGTTATTTCCAGCACCTAGAACAGTACTATACAGCATGGGCTTAATAAATGAATGTTGAATGAACGTTCAAGTTTTAGTACCAGTGTTACTTGTTTCATGAACCCTTTTTAGGCCATCTGTTTGAAAGAAATTTTATCTGACTTTATAACTTTGTAGAACATATTGTTAGACTCGTCCATACTGGCACATAAACAAACAGCATGTTTTAACTCCTCTGTGATATTTATAGCTTGTTTAGGGCACGTATTAGGTCTTTAGTATTTTCCATAATCTAGCACATTGCTGAACTCAAGATAAAAATAAACTACTTTTAGAATTATGTATAAAAAAGTGGAAAACAAGTCTTAAGCCTAAAATAACTTGAAGAACAAGTTATAATTTATTAACTTAATCTAGTTGACTCTATATTAATATACACATATTTGAATCTGGAGTTAGTTACCCAGTAGTGGAAAAAAATATATATACACATATAACATAAAATTAATCATTTTATTTTTAATCCATTTAATTGGAGCAGTTGCTGTTAAAAGCTGAATATACAACTACCTAAAATAAAAATGCCTGCAGATTTAACATTTTGTTAATATTAGAAGAGAAAGAAAAATTATAAAGCAAATAAAAAATAGTAAAAAAAATTTCTAAGACAAGTTAGATAAATGAAAAAAAATAATAAAGAAAACCAGTAGAAGAGACAGACCTGCATGTCTTCTCCTTGTGGTGTCCACTTCTTCTGTGATCACATCGTGTAATGGACAGACATAGACAAAGGAGATGGGTGTGAGTGGATGTACTCAAAAGGTAAAATGTGACACTGAAGGAAAGGGCCTCAAATCACTTTGAGAAAGGATCCTGTGCACAGTTGTAGGGAAGATATAGTCAAATACATACCATATTAAAAGAAAAAAAAGAATACAGAAGAACTGATGGTGAACTGGTTAAGCTACTATGGGTTAGCAGAATCAGAGAAATAAAGTTAGTGTAGAGATAAAGAGGATTTAAAAGTTTACAATTATTTATGGACAGCCAATCCTGAACACTGATGCTGAAAAAAGATACCATTAGTAAAAACAAGGTTACTTGTATGATCACATTGTTTAAGACATTACTGTATCCATTTAAGATCTGTGAAAATACTTATAGAAATTTTAGATATCATCTCAAGAAAAGAATTTAATTAAATCATCTTCAAAAAGAGCAACAATAATAGTTCCAGCAGATTTCTATGCCTTTTAAGTTTCCTAAAATGATCAGGGCACACATGAAATAAGTATGGCCATCAGACCAGTAAGTCACTGAATTACTTCAGTACAGCAATATATTGTCGGGAAAACATTACAGAGAATAACAAATATAATAAAACTCATTATAAAAAGAGTATCTGAAATATATGGCTACATTTAAATACTAAAAATTCAAGTTAGTCTTCAATTTAGACAAATTTTCTTCGATCATATTCCCTGATAAGGCTTGTTTATTCAGAAAGTTCTTACAGATAGCCATAACAGATCACTCACTGTTCCATTTAAATTTGCCCATCCAAATCTAATATCTTTTATAACAGACACAGCACATAATTTGGGAACACTTCTCTCCTCATTGGTAGTGGAGTTCAGAAGATATTTTATACAGCCATTAACCAGGAAATCTCTACTAAACTGAGCATTCTAAGAAAAAATTTTTCTAAAGGTATTAGTGAGTTAGTATTAGTATGACTGATACAGATAACAACATAACACAAAACCAGAATGTCCTATTTTAATTACCTTCTTAGCTTCAAATCTGGTATTACTAAATTCTTAAACTAAAACACCACATTCATTTCTGCAATACCTGTATCATAATTTTTGAGTGATTTATAGAAAAACGTGTTATATAAAAATACCTTTGGAATATTGATGTATTGAAATTATAACTCGAGAGAAATCTTTCCTATAACAAATTTATCTCTTTTCCTGAATAATGAGAAAACAAAAATTTTCCACTAGGAAATAAGTGCTGAGATAACCAAAACTTCTTTTTCTAAGAAAAAAGAGAAATACTAGCATGAATTATAGAGAACTGAAAAAGAAATGACATATTTTGAAACTTAACAATACCATTTTGACTGTTATGTGAGCACAGCTTTGACTTATTCAAAATTAGACACTAACTCTCATCACAGTTATGTAACAAACTAGACTTTGCTAATAGACCACTAGAAAAGTATTACCCTCCTGAAATGTATTCATACATTAACGTGCTAGATGCCATATTTTCTTTCACATCCCCAGTCCACCCATTTCTCACAGAAGATAAAATAGAAAAATCTTCGATATATTAATATCATAGGTTAATGCTAAATGGTATATTTTGCATTATTTTTTAACATGCAAATTTCCCTACATACGTATTTATCACACTACTAAAGCAGTTTCCACACATGTTAAAATGAATTTGGTGTGAATTGGATGAAATAACTGCTTAAGTATATTCCATCTCAAAGACTTTTTTTTTTTTGCAGAAAACACAAAAACAACATAAATAAATGGAGCTTCTTTCTCTACCTAGTATTTTCCTGTATCTTGAGCATTTTATAATGGTATTGAGGCGATGTTTTTCATCTTATATGGATTCAAAACATTCAAAATTCTTCTCAACCCATTCATTAATTTATTATAGAGAATAACTGAATAGAGTCCAAGTGACTTACCCAAGGTCACAAAATAAGTTCAATGGCAGAACCAGAAACAGAACAGAGGTCTCCTGATTACCAGGTCAATTTTCTTTCTACTAGATGCTATATGACCCAATAAAAACATGTGAAAATAAAAGTCAAACAAGGGAAAAAAACTTTTCATGGTGACACTGGGACTTGATACTTTAACATATAGTGTTGTTTAGAACAGTTTTAAAAAGAAGTACATGGTACAACTAAGCAAATCATTCACCAATGCTTTTTACTCTTGGGAGGAATACAGTAACACTTAGCACCAAAAATTTAATTGTTTTTAGAAAGTAATACAACAGTTATATTATAGAAAAGGATGAAAATAGAAGATTTTCACAATCATCTCACTACTAAGTAAGTTAGTAAATCATTTTTCCATCACTTGTGTGAGTATGATCCATTAATAGATTATAACTAACCTTACATAAAAACTCACAACTTTAATGAGCAGATAGAACACTCATTTAAATCATAAAATCTCGATGTCTAACTTTCAGTTATACCAAATATTTATTTTTTAAATGTTTGGCTTTCTTGTCTTCTCTGTGGTTACAGTTTTTTATATATACTATTTGTATTAAAACAGCCACATTTAAAAAGAGAAACTTACAGTCAACTATACCATTTAAACAGCTATGTCTTATTTAAGTGGCAAGAAAACTCATTTCACAAATATTAATTGTAATGATTTGCAGACTTCAGTGAACCTTGAAGAAGCTGAGTATCCCATTCACTCTTCCCATCTCCCTGCTTTTCCTTTAATCATTATTTTGCCACAAACATTTTACTTCAATGCTGTTAATGGTAGTTCGATTGAGAAGTCTTTCCAACATTTTATTTAGCCAATAACCACTTAGAGTGATTAAGAACAGTAAAAGTATACTCTCTGTTAGGTGTCTATTACCATCACAACTATGGCTGCATCTTAGTTTCAGATTCAGAAAATATAAAGACTTTGTAATAAAAATATACAGTATTTGGGGGGGTTCAATCCATCAGATGAGCTAACAAAAGAGAAATAAAATATTTTCGTATATTATACTGAAATATATTTATAAAACATAATGAATAACTCATAAACATCATTTATAGTAATTATTTCAGAAAAAAATTTTAAATTTAAGGTACCATCAAGGTGCAAACTATAAAAAGAATGAGGTTTTTAGTTAAGTAAAATAATACAACATATATATACATATATACACACTAAAGCTGCCTGTACTGATTCTTAAAATTACAAAAACCTACTAAAGATAAACAGATATATAAAATAATAATCTTCATTTGGCTATATGGTAAAAAAGTAAGTTTATGAGACTGAATATAATATCAGCTTTTATGTAAAACTGTGTGCAAAGCAAAATTCTTCTTGCCAATATATATTAACTAGCATTGTATTTCAACTGAATACATCTCAAGTTCAAACAGAAATAACCACCTGTAATCAACTTAATTTAAAAAGACATAGACATGAGGCTTGTTTATCCATAAATGCAGTTTTTAACAAGGGCATAAGATATCTATTTGAAAATCTGATGACTGGCTAACAACAGACATGCTATTGGTCCTATTATCAGATTCAACTGTACTTGAGTAAATATAGGTCCTATGGGAGTAAGCATTCTCTTAAAAAGATTCCTGATGATGAAACAGAAGCCTCAAGCCTAAGTGTATATTAGAACTTGCAGATACTTAAAGGTTAATCATATCATGAGGGCTTTTTAAAGGTCACAAGAGCCTTAGAATGTTTCCTTCAAGGGAAGGAACAACACCTTTCAAAAAGAAGCCTAAATAAGCATCTACTTAGTAAGCACCTCAATGATACAAAGATGAGGACAGACCTAGAATATGAAAACAAAATGTGTACCAAGCTTACCGATTTCAAACTACAACTTCTCCACTGTGACAAAAATGTTGTTGAAAAATTCCCCAGTCTAAGTGAGTTGAATTTATTTTCTAAACTAATTATTACTTTCTATAATTTCACCAACAACCATAAAATTATTGAATATTTACAAATTCTACCTGCCTACTGAAATAAGTAAAGTACAATCTTTAAAAATATTAAGCTTTTAAAAAAGCTAACAAAAATATTTATCTTTTAAATGTCTTGTTTCCTATCTGCAGCTGTGTCATTTTTTTCTGATTCTATCGTTAAAGTCTGACATGTAATGCAATTTTAAATGCAGAAGAAAAACATACTTAGAGTACTTACTGAGGGAGTTTAAAATAATTGATTTCTAAACTATAGCATGCTATTTATTATAAAAAAGAAAGTCACTGAAGTACAGGCTTGGCCTTATCTGTATGTTCATAGGAAACTCAGTCAACTTAAATGAGCAACTAAATTCATAAATCCATGAAATCTCAATCACTTTATTCACAGAAGAACATGCTTGTTAACAAATAACACTGTATTTACATATGAAGGTGTCAGTAGTGCTTAATTCCAAACTTCCATCAGTTGATTTGTGTTCTATAAAAGATTTACTTAGTTTATCACTTTTTTCTGTCAAAATAAAGTACATTGATTCTATAATTCAGAAATAATCAGAAGTTACCTATCTGCTAATACTGACCAAGAATACAACCTCGATGCTTTTTTCCAGATTAGATGGATTAGACTAGAATCTAATTAGAAAACTAAATTAGAATACTGATTTAGACTGAAATAAATTGTTTCTACTGTTAAGAAATGTCAAACCATTCGAGAATGAAAGGAAACAAAAGTCCATAACATCCAAATAGTCAAGAAAAAAAACTGAAGTATAAAACTCACTAAAAAATAAAACTTTCAATATTTACTTTTCCTCTTACCTTAAGATAAATTTTATAAAACACAATTCCAGAGGTTGAGCTAAGTTAAAAAAAAATCCCTACTTTATCCATAGTTACAGATTCATAAAGAATACAATATGGAAACGTTCATGGTAGAAAAAAATTAAAGCTTAATATATTAACTAAATTTTACAATGCCAACACTGGGGAAGTAAGCACACAAAATGTTATAGCAAGTAGTAAAA